TTTAACTTCATCGCCGCCTCGCGAAGAGGGTGGCGGTTGGTCGGTTCTCATACCGTTTCTATCCCATGTACGCTTTTCCCCTCTCTCTCTCTTTCTCTTTCTTTCTCCCTTTATATCGTTGCCACCCTTTGCGAGTATCACTACATTTTTTCCGAGCGTCACCCAGTTAAATCGTAGGAAGATATAAAACGCGCACGTAACCCTTTACGGATCGCAAATAACTTATTAATCTCTTAATAATTCGATGGCTATGTGAGAATATCCATGCCGTTGTATCTTACTGTCCGCGATTCGAAATTTTAATTTTTAAATTCTATTCCTGTCTTATGAAAGAATAGAAAATTTAATTTTATATTACATTCTATGGGAAATTAAATTTCATACATCTACGTCTAAAATCGATACACAATGCAAAATAGATATTTAAATAAAAATTTCAATTAGGTTTGATTGCTTTTTATAATTAATTCATTATATAATATAAACTTTGTAATATTATAATTAATGCTGTTACATGTTTATAATTCTCTCTAGCGTTTCTATCATGTTGCGTTTCTTGAACGTTAAAAAGATGACGAGGAAACATAGTTCAGTTGTATTCTCATGACACTTTAGTTTCATTATACTACTTAAATGAATGCATCAGTAACATTTAACTATGATATAAGGCTACAGACACGCATATACGTTTGCGGACACATTACGAAATAAAGCACAAATACATTCACCGACGTTCACCAACATAGATCGATTGAATAAATTTTTGTAAATAAACTTCCATCAACGCAACAAAAGTTTTGATAAATTCACTTGTAAAAAGTGTGAAGTAGTAAATGCTGTTAACCATCTAAATTAAATGAATATTTCATCGAACTGAACAAATAAAGCCATACAGCTTCTCGCGAAGTAACGTCGCATATTAAACAACTTCGTGAGAGAAAAATAAGTTTCTTTTTAATACGCAAGAGCTTGCATTCATTCTAAATCTAATTCATTCGCTCTACTCTAATCTAGAGATATCGTCAGAACAACATTCTTCTTGCGAGAAATGATCGGAGCCTCATTTTATAAACCATATTATTATAAAAAGTACATTGTAAAAGACATTACAGTTAATTTCGATTTTAAAATAATTCGCGAATAATTTAAAATTACGAAAGCACAGTATACGTGTATGTGTATGTCTCTACAACTATTCTCTATTGAATTGTCGTCAATTTATATCAAATCTGTTTTATAGCGTTACAAAATAGTCTTATGAAACGGGGCGCGACGTTTCTTGAATTGCTGGACAGGCGAGTGCCACGTGGCTGGCAAACGAGCAATGATGATGAACATTGATGACGTGATATGAGATCCACAAATATATGAATGATGAGATATTTACCTCGAGGACGATGCATTGGCTTGGCTCTTATTGTTAGCGATCTAGCGTAGCACAACTACGTCTATACATTTAAATTTTGGCTACTTGACGACTCCTATAATACCCAGGATCGTGGAATGTTGGTGGCCGCCGATCGCCGCCGTTTCCGATGCAAGCTTCTCGTGTAAAGATAATTTACTATCCCTACGAAGCTGCAGCACGGGTTCAGCTCCATTTCCACTATATTTACTCGAGATTGCGAATGATTTACGTCGACGACGAGCTTCGGTATAACCTCGCAAATCTCGCTATTTACATCGACATTCCATTAATCGAACAATCAGCGATCCTCGATAAACAGGATTATCCATCGACGCTTGACGATACCGCTTGACGAAGCAAAATTAATAATAGTAAGAATTAATAAATAGATTATAGAGCAATTTTAATTGATTTAAGATTCAAGAAGATGAGTTTAAAATAATTCATACACATAATTTTGACGGTTAATGCAAAAAGAGAGAATTATATCCAAAATATAGATAAGATTTTAATTCGCTGATCGATTACAAGAAGATTGGAATATTATTTCTATTATAAAACAATCACTACGATACACGAACAAGAAGAGAAATTATTGTATGACAGATCGTTAGATTGCATTATTTATTTCCACTTATCCCGATTAGCCTTATCGTCGCGCGAGTCCCGCACAGGCGTCACTAAATCGCTTCGATTGAAGGATCAATGGCTTCGAGCGAACACGAGTCTCGCAGCATCCTCGATGACCGCGTGTATGTCTGTAACGCGTCGCGATCTCCACGCTACGATGCCTTCCACCCCTCCGATTTTGCGAAACCACGAACAGGATGAGACAACGGGACACCGGGAGACCCGTGAACCTCTGGGGATCCGAGACGAAGGTGGAATCCCAAGGGACCCTGAGGGAGAGATGCGCGAACTCGACCAGGAATCGCGCGTCGCTTCGATCGCCGGTCAGAAACTGAATGTGGCGCGGTTCGAGCTACTAAGGCTCAAAATGTAGTCGAGAGTCGGGGAACCACCCCTTGCTCGCTCTCGCTCTCTCTCTCTTCCTCTTTCTACTTCTCCCTTACTCTCCAAAGGGATGCAGAACTCCAGGGCGGGGGATGTGGCGGCGAACGGCCGGGGGACGAGAGGGGGCTACGACGATTTCTCTGGGATTCACATCGGGCATGTTCGGGGCTTCTGCGCACTAGTGCCCCAGTAACACACCCCCGTGCACATCGGATGGGGAAACCTCGAGTATCGTGCGAGCGCAAACAAGTCGCGTCATCCTCGGTTGTCTCGATTCCCCACGATTTTCTCGACCTAGATGAGTCTTTCTCCCTCTTTTTCCCCTCCCCGTTCCTCAATTTTTGGAAACTGGAATTCTGCAGTGTAAAGTAGCGCAACAATTTAACTAAGTTTTGAAGTAGAAAGATATCTTTCTATTATACTATTCTCTATTTTTCATATGTAAGTAATGTTGAAATATTGATCATGTCTTATCTCAAATACGAAAAATTCTAAACGTCTTCACGATCTTTTAATTATCTCTTATAACAAATTTTTCGATGTATATTTTTCTCTACATCTCGAATCTTTTTTCTTCCAACATTTTTGCAGATGATGAACTGTGATGTTTCAGTGAATCTTTGCTCGAATAGCCTGTCAGATTTAATATTGATACAAGAATTTTCACGAGGTTTAGAGCCAACACTAATAGGAACCTAGCATTATTGTCGAGTCGCAAGGAATATAGTCTGCTGGGATTTCAAATAAACGTAAGCTCGTGTGTCTGGTTGAGTCGTTTTAACGTCTGAACACTTGTAACCGAGCTTGTGACAGATATGGAAATCATTGATTCTTCCACGACATCGGAAAGGGATTACAATAAGATGTGCTGCGCGTTAATTTTTAAAGAAACGAGTAAAGACAAATATATGAAAAAATCTGTATTCGTAATTAAATTCTACCAGGCTCTGGAAAGAACAATTTATTTCGCAACATTGAAAAAAAAAACGATGATTGAGAAATAATTTTTCACATTAATTTACTACATTGATAAAGAATTAATCTAATTCATGCTTGAACACATTAATCAAGAAAATGTTTTAACGCACGAATTTATGTCTTTTATTGTCAAATGTCAAATGTATATACAATTGCTACAAACGTCAAACGAATATGTTGCCACATAAAATCGTATCTACTAGATTTGGTATACTTTTCAGCACGTTCACGTCACCAATAAACCCGGACAGTTACATACCGTATAACTCTATATTGGAAAATGATTAATAATACTTGAATGTATAAACGGAGAGATTGTACAGCTGAAAACTGTATTGTCAATAACTGTAGTTCTATCGGCAAAATGTCAAACTCAGAATCTATATAACGTTTGCTCGTATTATATTATGAACCTTTTATTTTTTTGTTCAAATAATTATTTAGGAACCCCTAGCATATCCTATTAGGCACTCTACATATATTACAAAATGAATTTTACAATCACTCTTGATCCCTTTGACGAATTTAAACGATTTACGAAGTTTATTTACCCCAGTTATATACATATGATTTTACAAATATTCATATAAACAATTTTATAAAAAAAAATCATACAATTAACACGATATAATAGAAATACACTATATATAAATAAAAATGTCTATATGTATACAGACATTTTCGGTCTTTATCATAAAATCGAATATCGTATTGAATTTCAGAGAAAGAAAAACTATCGTGTTGAGTCATTTTAAGTGATTCAAGAGGATGTGTGATAATATTTTATGTAAAAAACTAATGCCTACATATAATATTGATTGTCATTAGAGTTTGCTACCCTCATGCAATTTTGAAACCCCGGAAAATCGACTCCCACATTATACTATCTGATTTCGAGATCTTAGAAGGTTGTTTTGCTACACGATTCGCTCTTAATAATTAAGTATATTGTCTCAATCACTCTATGATCAATCAATTTTATTCCGAATGTTTGTTTATTCATTAAATTTGGAAAGACATATGCGATTTATAATATTTCAGTATAAAACTCGAAAAAAATACTTTTAACGAAAAGGAAAAAGAAAAATGTCTCAAAATATCTTAAAAATTATTCTCATTTATAATATTCATCGCATAAGTTATACACATTTTCGTTAAATTAATTCAAATTAAAATATTACATGTACAAATAACTAGTTGAAAAATAAAATCTTTAGATTTCGATCAATAAATTCAAAAAGTCGATATAAATTGCTGTTAAATTTTTTGTTTAATCTTATTTTATCTACATCTCTAATTCGTATCAGAAAAGTAAATGCTTATTACGATTCTTTCGAGGAAGATATATTTTGACAAAGTTGAAATAATCATGACATTTACGAAAAAAAAAAAAACATTATTGTACAGAAATATATAATCATTATCTATATAAAAGCTTTTAGATTTCTTATGCTTAAGGCGAAAGATTTGCGCTAAAAGCAGCGCGACAGCGAGAAAACGGAATGAAGACGTTATCCTACTTTGCTAACAATTGCTAAAGCTACGGGCACAAACTAGTCGAACTCTTACATCACACAGCTCAACAACAGTTCTTACTCACCGCGCTAGTGTCATCATGGTGTCACTCGATCGCGCTCGTAGGATTCTCTCTTGCTCGGACGGATTCGTTGCGCTCGTGGACGTTCAGCGCGGATTTCAAGCAAAACAGCACAGAGATAGAGATAGAGAGAGATAGAGAGAGAGAAATAGAGGGAGAGATAGAGAGAGAGAGGAAGAGAGAGAAAGAGAGAAAGACTTCTATATCTGCGAAGAGATTACGAAGTCGGTCCTCCTTGGCTGCTGGATCTTCGTGTTCTTCGAGGGATCACGAACGTTCGCCCCAATCACAATAATAGGAGTAGTGAATCGGGAAAAGGCACAAGGAAGGGACGGAGCTGATTCTCGTTCAAACTCACGATCGAGAAAAATAAAAAAAGAGACTTTCGAAAAGAGACCCGAACGTGATCTTGGATCTCGGTAAGGCAATCTCGTGGCTAGATCGATAATAGACACGGAGGGAAAATAAGCTCGTTTAAGTACATTCATCGCGCGGATGCCGACGAACATAATTTGCTTCTGAGTGAAAAAACGGGAATAACAAGATTTCGAAAAATTTAAAAAAATAATCTCAAAGAGAGGACGATTTATTGTCACGATATGGACGGCGATTTGAAGGCACGAGACAGTTTCGGAGCGCGACAGCCATGCGCTACATTATGATGCATCATCGATGCCTGCAAAATTAACAGAATCGAAAGTGACGTGAGTTCCGATACTTTTTAATCGGTTATATTTTTTTCTTTAAAACAACGAACAATGATAAACGTCAAAAACAATCGCGAGCAAAAACCGCAAGTGTATTTTCCGAAAATTGCACGTAAAAACCGCACAAATAAAATATTTTCCCAAAAACGTACCACGATAAACTACATGATTTTATATAGTGGAAATATGACGGAAGTAATAACAATTCTCGGTAAAATCACTTAATGCTCGGAGCGATTTAAGAATCGAACGAAAAAACGGGAGTATAATTTACCTGACAGATCAGCGAGAAACGTTAGAACTGTTAGACTGATACCGCTTTGCACGTTCGAAAGCCGGAACAATCAGGAGATCTTGTTCACCGTGAGGCAAAGTAGAAACGGTCGCCAATCAGACTCTATCTTCGCGAACAACTCTCGACAACACAAACAGCAAAAAAAAAAAGAGACTATAAATAACCGGGGCGCGCGCGAAAGAGTCAATTAAAACCAAATGTTGAAAGGAAGACGGAGTAAAAAATGCGGAAGCTTGCGAGATCGGGAAGCTCGAAACGGAATTTGGAAATGGAAGTCGTTGGTTTCTGGCGGCGATGCGAAGGGATGGGAGAAGAGAACGAGGGCGAGGATGTTACCCCGACGGCTGTCGCCAAAGAAGTGATAGGTCTGCGGCCTTGCGCGCGGTACCCGAACGATGAGGGCGACGAAAAGGGAACCGACGTCGCCCGAGGGCGCAGACGCGAGGGTTCATCAGCGAACGAGGACAACGGCGATTGGCGGCGATTGTTCGACGTTGCCCCGCTTCCTCGCGTTCCGCCAATTCGCGAGGGGGTGAGTCGACCCCCGCCGAAGTCCCTTCCTGTATCCTACGGGAAGATTGAGCGCGGGGGGCGCAATCGCCCGACGACGGCGACCCCTCCGAAATTCGAGTGTCGTATTGCGTTGTATTCGAACGCCGCTGGCCCTTTTTCGCCCTTTCGCGCGCGAAAGTGCGAGCGATATTTGCGCCGCGACTTTACGCCAAGATTTAGCGAGTACACAAGGGGAGGGAGCAAATTCGGCAGTAAATTGCAGTAATCGGAATGACACCGCACCGAATTTATAGGACGATTACGAGAATGCAGTTATAATTAGTCTAATGATGACGCTAAAGGACTCCGCTTGTCGGTATCTATAACATTACTTGTTAATTAGTAACTGTATCAAATAATTATTCAATTGATTTAATAAGACAATTGTTGTTGAATTTTAAATTTATAATCTTATAACATGTTAAGAAGCTTGAGATACAGATAGAAATTTAATTCCGCAAAGAAATTAAGAGATAAAAATTTCTTTCACTTATAATTATTGTTAAGACTAGAAAAATAAAGGTTTTAATATCATTTTTTTCATAAATACATAGATATACATAGACACTTTTTTTCTTATTTTTATCCTTAGCGCAAGAAAGAAAATTTCAATTTTGAAATTTTTAAGAAATGGATAAAATAAAGATGACACTAGAGCTATTCTCCACGGTACGCAATATTTTCGTTTCCACGTTTCTCTCACATAGTACACAAGAAGAAAATTAAGTTTGCACGCGAATCAGTGTGCAAATCAAATTTATTTACATTATCTTGCTTCACATATCTTTCATTCATTATGGAAATGAATTATATGCACAAAAAGATGGACGCGTGACCTCTAATAATAAATATAGCAATATTATTTTAAGTAACTAATAATGTGAATCTTAGAAAAAAATCTATCGTTAATCTTAAGGTTTTTCAAACATGGCATTTTATCGTTTATTGCATTTATAATATTGTAAAAAATATTCTATAACCGGCAAACATAGTAAGTACATAAAATAATCAATAAAAAAATTGCGAAATTAACATTAATTTCTATTAAATGTATCGATTGAACTATATTTTTCCGCAAAAATACATCTTTGTTTTTTATTTTCTTTTTTATTTTTACGTAAATATATATAAACTATCTCAAGATTCTTTTAAATCTCAAGTTAATTGATTTTAAATAACTATAAATAATTGAGATTAAATATTTTTTTAAATATTCCGTACAATCAGAACAATTTTATATATAAATACTCTAGAAAATTATGAATGTTGAATGATTGTGATCATTCTACTAAAGTATCATTAGCGAATCACATCTAACAGCATTCATTTAAAAAAAAAAGAAACTTTGAGCACCGAATGTGATAAAAAAAAACGCGGTGTAAGATCGGGTCCGATAATTTTCTTAGACGCGGACACGGATTACGAGGTATACAAAAGATTCGAAGCAGGCCCCCATCCCTATAGCGACAAGGAGACGCGAAGGGATGATAATGCGAGTCTGCAGCGGGAGGTCTCCTGCAGGAGAGGATGGGGAGTGTCACTCAGGAGCACGACGTGTAAGAGAATGGTCACCGTCCCGGGGGGTGAATTGAGATGTACAGGCAATTTATGCAGCAAGAGAGAAAGAGGGAGAGGGGGAGCACCACTCTCGTTCGAAAGTCAGCGAGCGACTGCTGATCATAAACCGCCTGCAAAACATCGCTGAGCTTTTTTCCTGGGAAAATATCGAACACGAACAGACGATTTTTCCACGCACAGCGATATTTTCGTCATCGCTCGCGACAACTCGTGTCATCAATTTATAACTTGGTTGCAAAAAGTGTTTGTTTCCCATTACTCTTGATTGTGGTTCACGTATGCAGTAATATGAAAAATGCAGATGACAGATTTCGCAATTTAGTGACCTGAGTTCAATCAAATTTTACGATACGATTTGGTATAACGCGACTTTTATAAATTCTTTAAAAGTTCTTTATATAAATAGTACACAAGCTATTCTTTTTTTCGCAAATATATAGTAATTAAATATTATCATATAAAATAACGCTGTAATAAATAACGGTAAAAATAATTCATATCATGAAGGATTAAAAAAAAAAAAACTGGAAAGCCGCTTACTTTTAAACAAAAATTTTCCACGCCTTATATTTTTACTGAGACGCGAGACTAAACTTGCATTAATATATTAATTAAAATTTATTTACTCTAGAAACGACATTTATACGAAGGAAAGATGTCTACGTGTATCTCGTATTTCTTTGCTTCACCAATTGTAACGAAATGGAAGGAAATGACGAAAAGCAAGCATCAACGGGGGATGAAAAACAGAAGATGGCTTTCATTCGGGATGAATTAAAGATCCCCAAGTATGCTTCTGCTTTTCTTTTTGTTCGTCATTTCGTGCTTCTCTCTCTCTATTTCTCTCTCATTTTCTACCTATCTATCTATCTATCTCTATCTCTTCCTCTCTTCGGCCATCAACCCTTATCGTGGTAGCGTCAATCACTCTCTTCCATACACGATGAAACTTATCGTTCGATTAATCGGCCTGACAATGCGCCTGTCGATTCGAGTTACCCTGTCGTCCCCTCCCCCACCCCCTCACGGATTCGCGCGCGTGTGGTCAGTCCCCGAAAATGCAGCGCTCGTCCGACAACGATTTACGGCCGGAAAAGTTTTATGGCTGCCAATTATACAGTGGAGGATTCTCTCTCGCGAAAATTATAAGCGAAAACGTAAACTATATTAGAGTCAGAATTACTATCCCAGTCGTAGATAGCCTTAATAGCGTTAAAATACGTATTAAAAGGAGCTTTTGCGAATGTAATATAATTACGTATTCAAAAACATGGAAAAAATTAGATACATAAATAATATAAACAAAATTCGCAATATAATATCGCGTATATTTATCTTACGGCGCAAGTGTCATGTAATGTACTGTTTACAGAAATCGATATATCGTCAAAAGATTTATGTTTTATCGGGTATTTGTAGTGAATAATAAAACAGAGAACGAAATGCGCTATTTAAAAACACATTTATGAAAAAGTACACTGCATTCGTACATGGAGAAAAGTATAAAATGGTTGCAAAAGTTATGATCAAAAGTGGCAACGAATGTCATCCGTTCAACTTGTCATATAAATCCGCGCAAGTAGAACAAGTGTTGTCGGACTCGGTGCTTGTTTGCAGCTCGCAGTGCGAGTTTCAATGTGTAGACAGCTGTAAGTTCGGCGCCAAAATGTCTGGACCATAACGTTTCGCTGTCCATCGCATGGACCATCGATGCTCGTATTATTCCGAATGTAGATATAGGTACATATCGCATGAAATTCGAATATATTCCAAAATGTCCTGGGTAAAGAATTTCTCGTGTCGCATAATATTATACTTAATCATGTAATGGAATTTCCATCCAAACGGGTTACCCATATCATGCATCACTTCGAATTTCGAAAGCGATGTGATTTTTCCGAATTTTACGCGATACAAATATTTCAAAAAGGAAGGAAAATAAGGAAAATAAGAAGAAAAGTAATTTCAAATTGAGGGAGATTTCAATTTCTGATCAATAGTAAGATAAGGAAGATGCGCTCTATTTTGCTTTCGAGTCTTTGTTTCTCCTTGTTTAAGCTTGTTACGTTCTGGTATTATCGAAAATGATAGGTTGCAGCAATAAGCGATGCTTGTGATCCTTCTAAGCATAGTTGCAAACAAGACAACCGCCGCATTCGAGTCGGTGGACAGATGCGCAGGTCGTAGGAACCGCAGAATGGAGATTAAAGATAATGCGGGGAGATACGAGAATTGGTCAACGGAGACCATCGACGTTTAACGCCATTTGCGACGGGCCATTTGCCCATATTCTTATTAGAAGGTATCTTTTATCTACGCCCGGACACGTGTGACACGTAGAACAGCGTCCAGCACAACGTTAGGAAAAAGTTTCTCCTTATCTTCATTGCGCCCCGAAAGCGCATGAAACTTTGCTAGGTTACAAAAGGGGACGTAAAATTGTCGGAGAAAGTGGTTGCAATATTATCAGTTGAATTAAATCGAATTAAACGCGACCAGATGAATATTCGAGCAAAATTCTAGGATAAAATGTTTAACGAGAGATCTCTGATGTTTCGATCGAATTCAAATGCGATGTATTCCAATCGCGCGTCCTCCAGTCGCTCGCGTATTCATGGTGAGAAGTGCATCTTCGCCCTTCGCCCTCTGCGTCCTTTTCTCCTTTCGATCTCGAAATGCCTATTCAAATTT